TCCATAATAGTTTGCCTAATGTTGCTCTACTCACAAAAAAGCCCATAGCCTCTGTGTGCTGATTGCAGAACAGGACTGTGATTCTGTTACTGGGCTTTGATAGCTTTTGCTGTAGAATAGGGAGCTCACATAAACATCTTTGTAACCAAGTCTTCATTTTTCCCTTAGGATAGAAGTGGAATTACTGGTCAAAGGGTATGTATGCTTTTGAGTCTTTCCGAGTGGCCAGAAGCTCTGGTGGTATTTGCAGGCTAGTGTGTCTCCGTTAGACAGTACGTTGGAGTCATAGAGAATACTTCAAAAGCAGAGATACCCAGGACCACCTCCCAGAGGGTCTTATTTCGTGGATCTGCAATGGATCCAGAATTAATAGTCTTAAAAGATTTTATTCTTATATGTGTATGTGTAGGTGCTGGGAACTGAATTCAGGTCCTGCAGAAGAGTAGTATGTGTTCTTCACCACTGAGTCATTTCAACAGCCTGAGTTAGAGTTCTTAAAAGCTCCCCAAAAGTTATTTATATGCAGCATATGCAGCAGATTTGATTAGGTGAAAGTGGTAGTGTATTATTTTATTGATAATTTTCTTCTGAAAAATTTTCAGGCATTCAGATCTGGGAGAAGTGGCCCCAGAAGTAAAAGCTTCAGACAGCCAAACATCCGTGGCAATCGCAGGTAAACCAGACTGGACCGTTCTGAAATAGCTGGGTTTCTTCTGTCTGTTGGGATTCTGGAGTCTGCACTCTTCGTGGGCTGGGTTACTCTGGACCTCGCAAACAAACTCAAGGCTTTGTTTCTCTCTGTAGAAGAGATTCCATCTTAAGATGTTCAAGTCTCTGCATACTTCATTGGCGTTATTGTTTCTTTTCTTATAAAGCTATAAGTTGTGCAAATACTAGACCTTTACTGGAGACACAGGTACATAATATGTAAATATTTTGTCCCATTGTGTTTACCTCTCACTGTGTGTATGTCTGTGTGTTGTGTGTTTTGTTGTTGTTGTTTTTGCTGCTAGGATTCAAACCCAGGGCCTCAAAATATAGAGTACTGTGCCCTTGAGTACATTCCCAGCTCTGCTTTTACTTTTTTCAAGACAGGGTTTCTCTGTGTAGCTCTGGCCATCCAGGAACTCACTCTGTATACCAGGCTGGCCTTGAACTCACAGAGATTTGTCTGTCTTTGCCTCCCGAGTACTGGGATTAAAGGTGTGCGCCACCAACACCAGGCTTTCACTTTTTTTTTTTTAAAAAGACAGGTTCTCACTAAATAGCTCTGACTGGCTTGGAACTTACTTTGTAGACCAGACTGGCCTCAGACTCACAGAGATCTGTCTGCTTTTGCTTCTGAGTACTAGAACTAAAGGTGTAGCCACAATGCCTGTCGGTTTTCACTTTCTCGATATTTTTCTTTGATGCACAATGTTTTTACTTATCTTTTGCTTTTGTCAACTGCCTCTTTAGCATCACATCTAAGAATCCAGCATGAAGTCCAAGGTTACAGAGATTTACTCACATGTCTGCTAAGAGTTTCATGATTTCGGGGGGTGGGGTAGGGTTCAAGACAGGGTTTCTCTGTGTAGTTCTGATATCCCAGAATTTGCTCTGTCTACCAGGCTGGCCCTGAACTCAGTGATCCACCTGCCTCTGCCTCTGAGTGCTGGGATTAAAGGCTAGTGCCACCACCACCTGGCTTTGAGTTTAATGATTTTTAATTCTTACGGTTATATTGTTTATTCATTTTAAGGTAATTTGTTGTGTATGGTGTGGGACCACCTATGAGCTTTATTCTAACCAGCATTAACAGCCTTGAGGTGTCACATGGTAGATGTTTATTTACTGCTTGGTAACAAATAGCCTATGTCTTGATGGAAAATTAGCAAGCATGTGTTAGGTGCTGTAATAATCGGGAGAGAAGGATCACTTTGTTTCAGTGAGAATGCTTTAATACTCCACTGTCGAGGCTTATGTTGGGGGGACCAGCCCCCCTAAACCTCTCAGGATTTAGAAAGAAAGCTATAGCAGGTGAAAACTGACTAAAAAGGCCTGAGGATAAATAAATTAATTCACATGTGTTCTATTTATTTTTCCTGTGCTCCCTCCAGTGCTTTCTCCAGTGCCCTTTCAATGCTTCCCTTGATGTTTCTCGCTGTTCCCTTTCAATGTTTCTTCTCAGTGTTCCTCCCAATCCCAACCGTTTCCAGTTTATATATCACACAAACATAGTTAACAATTCTCTGGTAAATATTAGTGATGCTGAGTATGCATCTCTTAGGGCTAGCAAGATGAATGAAGCAGGCACCAGTTGTCTTACTACTGTCTCAGAGGGGGCATGGCTGTAGATACCTCCCTATAGATACCGGGAGGATTAAGTCAGTACAGAATCCTAAAACGGGAAAAAGGGGGTTTGTGTACTAACTGGTTAGGCTAGAAGTCTGTGATTAATAATTGTAGAGAAAAACGACGCAGTGCTGTTGCACTTTGTGAGCACTTCTGTTTCAGTGGTGGCTGGGAACACAGTTTTGTGGTAACCATGGCAACCAGCATAAGCTGTAGATGGCGCTTGGCCCCCCTGGGGCCAACAGGGTGCTGTGGGGTGCTGTATCCTCTGGCACCCAGATGAGAAGGAATTCCTTCCTCTGGGGCTGGTTTAACAATCTAAGCTTTTTTCCCAGTATTTCTAGGGGTAAAGGCACAAACAGTTAATTTTCTAGATTAAGATCTTGTGTCAGTGAAATCGAGGTGGAAGTAAGTATAGAATATTAATAGCTTGTTAGGGTAGAGCAAAGACCAGTAGGTTATACTCTCCTGAGCTGGCTGTCGGAGATTTTAGGGCCGCCCAGACCTATCAGTAAAGGTAGATGTGCTACCCCCTGCTCAATGCCTGTTCCGTTGAGGTTCCCATGTGGTCCAGAGCAGAGGTCCCTTCCTTGTCAGAAGTGCAGTCAATGAGGTTTAGTTGAGTGAATGCTTTCATACCAGGGCCCTCCCTATCCAATTGCCAGTACAGGAAAAGTCATGTCTAAGGAATGATTTATACACTGCTGGGATGTTTCGGGATGAGTCCCACTATAGAAAGGAGGAAGGCTATGGCTTCACAAGATGTTTACAGAATTGACAAATTCCGTCAAAAGACGGGTGTTCCCGAAGCTCTGCAGATCGGGTTTCTCATTGGAATGCACTCCTGTGATTCTGTCTAGTGGTCTGCTAGCTGTTCTGTTACTGTATCATGCTTGTGGCTCACAGCGCCCCACTTTCAGTTCCTCCACCTGGGCTTGGGACAGTTCTCACAGGACCTGCTATGTCAGGCTTACCCCTGAGTCACAGTTATACCCCCTTCTCGCCTTTTTGTTTTATTAAAACATAGTTTGTTAAATTGCAAATATTGGTCTGAAACTCAGAGTAATCCAATTACTTCTTTAACTTGCTACTTTCCCGAGGGGCAGCCTAGGATTACAGACATGTGCCATCAGGTCAGCCTCTTAAAAAACTATCAGTCTTACATAGTGCTCTACAGCTGTAATCCCAGCACTCAGGAGCCAGAAGCAAATGGAGCTCTGTGAGTTTGAGGCCAGCTTCACCTCATAGCAAGTTCCAGGACATCCAGAGCTACATAGAGACCCTGTCTCAAAGCAACAACAGCAACAACAACAAACCCCCAAAACCAAAAAAATGTTTATTTTGCCTGCATTTATGTACACTATGTGTGTGTAGTGCCCATAGAAGGCCAAAGGAGGGTATTGTTTCCCTGAACTGGGGTCACAGGCAGTTATGAACCACCTTGTAGGAACTGAACCTTGGCCCTCTCTGCAAGAGCATCAAGTGCTTTTAACCCCGGAGCTCTCTCCAACCCCTGTACTTGGCTATTATTTTCTTCTCTAGTTATTTTTTCTCTTCACACTACATTTTGAATTCTTTGGGAAAAATTATTTTTTTAGACTCTTATTTTTACTTTGAGTAAGTATGTTTTTAATTTCTGGACATTGTGATTTGATTCTTGAGTCCTTTTGTGTTTTTATTCAAATCATCCTGCTTCCAATAGCCACCCCCCTTTATTTTTCTCTTTTTCCAGAAAAATTATCAAAAGAGACAGTTTAAAATGTTAGATTTAGACCTGGATGGAGGTGGGTGGTCCTTGGACTTCCCACAGGGCAGGGAACCCTGATTGCTCTTTGGGCTGACGAGGGAGGGGACTTGATTGGGGGAGGGGGAGGGAAAGGGGAGGTGGCGGTGGGGAAGAGACAGAAATCTTTAATTAATTAATAAATAAATAAATTAAAAAAAAAAACAAAAAAAAATGTTAGATTTATCCCAGCAATTTGGAGGCAGAGGCAAGTAGATCTCTGTGAGTTCGAGGCCAGCCTGGTCTACAGGACAGCTAGTACTGTGCAGAGAAACCCTCAAAACCACAAAAACCAAAAAGGTTTATCTATTAATTACGGGGAGATCATAAGGTTGATTTAAAAAACCATATTAGAGCTGTAGCTTTATTTCCAGTCTTTGTTTCTGTTTAAGCTTGGCTTATTCCAGAATCTAACCTGGAGATACTTCTGCTCCTGAGTATTTGAGGAATGCTCACTGTAGTCCCAACAGTCGGCAGAGGCTGCTGCAGACTTCTTGGTAGAAAGGCTCTAACTGCTAATGAAGTGAACGTCTGTACCCTTTCTTTCTAGATTTGGAATGGAGAGAAATGGAAGGAGATGACTGCGGGTTCCATTATGGAGGTAGAAACTGTGGGACTGAGGACAGACTGGGTTGGGAAGGTGAGGGTGTGGATGCAAGTGAAAAACAGCTAGGACGTGATGGTTTGTGTGGTTATATTTCTAGGAATTACAGCTTTGGTTTTTAAAAAAGAGGGTTTGGATTTGTTTCCCTTAATTTACTTTGTCAGTCTATTTGACATTAATTTCAAGTTATTAGATTAACCCCTTTATTTCCCTTTGCTTTTCTCACAGATGGTGCAAACGAGGCTCAGGATAGTGACTTCCCGACAGGTCTGCATTTTGTCCTTTTTTTCCAGCTTTCCATTCTACTGGAGGAGAGCACCCTATAGGTGGCTAATTCCTAAACTTGCCTGTATCACATCACCTTGGTATTTGACTGTAGACCCTTCTTGTCTATCACCCCTTTATGAACTATTAGTAATGTTGCTAAAAACCAAACCACTGGAAACTTACTATGGAGTAACCAGTTGTTCCTTTAACTTATTTATACTGTCACCGTGAGTTACTGTCTTTGTGAGTGGAGGCTTCCTCATGTATCTTATTTTTAGCAAGTTCCTGAAGTGTTTCTAATGTTCAGTTATCAAAACTTAGGAACTCTAGCAATAGCTTCATTTGCATATTGCAAACTTGGGCCCAGAGTTGCTGAATGGTCTCCTAAGGTACATATGTAGAATAATTTTATTTTTTTTGTGATTTTCCCAAGTTGCTTTGATGATCATGCTGTTTAAGCAACAATGGTTGTTGTGTGTGCCTGGCTTCATTTGGGCATAACAGGGAAACCTGAGTAATAGTTATGTAGATTTTCTGCCAAAGCAAAGTATTCCTGTGTAGTTTTTCTGTTTTTATTTATTTTTATAATTATATTTATTTTGGGCTGGAGAGATGACTCAGTGGTTAAGAGCACTACTTGTTGCTCTTGCAGAGGACCTGGGTTTGGTTCATAGCACCAACTTGGTGGCTAATAGCTCTCTGTTACTCCAGTTCCAGAAGGATCTGATGCCCTCTTCTGGCCTCTTTGGGTACTGCATGCACATAATACACAGTTAAAATACACATATACATAAAGGAAAAATAGATTTTTTTAAAATTAAAATGTGAGGATCTGTTTTCTCCTTCTGCCATGTGGATACCAGGGATCAAACTCAGGTCACTAGGTCTGGAGGTAAGTGGTTTATCTGCTGAACCATATTACCAGGCTAGTTGTTCTGTTTTTAAAACAAATTCACAGCATCCACCCCCTCCCCCTGTAACTTCTCAAGTGATCCTTCAGCCATATTGCTGTAGAACTCGGAGCCCTGAACTGGCAAGATGGCTCAGAGGTAAAAGAGCTGGCTACCGAACCTGATGACCAGAGCTGGCTCCTCAGGACTCCTACAGGTTTTTCTCTCACCTCTAGACATGTGCCATAGCTCACCTGTACAAATAAGTTTAGAAGCCTGAGCCCTAAAACCAATGTTATTGGACACTTATGGTGTTATATGCCTGTAGTTCCAAGGTAGATGCAGAAAGATTGAATCTATTCACAGGTTTGAGACAAGACTGGGGGCACCATCCCCTCCTCCCCACCTTCATTGTTAAAGAATAAGAAAAAGAGCTAGAAATGTAGCTCAATGGTGAAATACTGCCTAGCATGTTGGTTCCATTTCAGTACTGCAAAATAAATAAATACATATATAAATAAATAAGAAGTGAACCACTTATATTGGGTATGAACATTGGTAAGCTGCCAGGCCAAGATCTGGATACAGTTAGAATTTTATGATCATTAACTTATAAAGTTTGCATTATACAGGGTGACATTCAGTGTCTACCAGGCCTCAGTCCACACCAGATGTCTTATTGTGACTGCATTAGTCAGGGTTCTATAGAGTAATGGAACTTAGAGAATGAAGCTTTATATAAAGAAAGGGAATTTATTAGAATGGCTTGTAGGCTGTGGTCCAGCTAGTCCAACAGTGGCTGCCTATGAACAGAAGGTCCAAAGATTGACCAGTAGTTGGTCAATCCATAAGGCTGGATGTCTGAGTTTGTCCTCAGTATATGCCAGAATCCCAAAGGAGTAATTCTAATGCAAGTGAAGAAATGGACGTGCTAGTAGGGTGAGAACAAGCAGACAAACAGCAATAACTTCCTCCTTTTGTGTCTATATAGGCTTCCAGCAGAAGGTTTGGTCCAGATTGGAGGTGGGTCTTCCCACCACAAGAGATCTGGATTAAAGGTGTGTCTTACCACCTCAACTCAAAGATCCAGATTAGAAGTGGATCTTCCCATTTAAAATTAAGCAAAAATTCTTTCAGGTGTGCCCTCCATTTTTTGATTTTAGTTAAATTTCAAGTTTAATGTAATCAAGTTGACAACCAAAATATCCTTCACAGTCACCAAAACCCAAGTAATTATACAGGGAGTGATAGTTTACACATACACTCCTAACAGTTTTGAGGCTAGAATGTGTAGATGGAGTTTATGTCCTGCCCAGTCCTGCAGCCATTGAGTCCCAAAGAAACAACACATAGGCTTATATTAATTATAAACTGTTTGACCTATTAGCTCAGGCTTATTATTAATTAGCTCTTACAACTTAACCCATAATTCTAGCCAGGAAGTAGTGGCGCACACCTTTAATCCCAGCACTCGGGAGGCAGAGGCAGGCAGATCTCTATGAGTTTGAGAGCAGCCTGGTCTACAAGAGCTAGTTCCAGGACAGGCTCCAAATCTATAGAGAAACCCTGTCTTGAAAAACCAAAAATAAATAAATAAAAAATAAAAAATTAACCCGTAACTCTTACCTATGTTTAGTCTTGTGGCTCGGTACCTTTTCTCAGTAAAGCATTTTCATCTTGCTTCCTCTGTGTCTGGGTGGTGACTGCATCTCTGCCTTTTCTCTTCCCAGAATTCTCTTAGTCTGGTTTCCCCACCTATATATACTTCCTGCCTGGCTACTGGTCAATCAGTGTTTTATTAAACCAATATTAGTGACAAATCTTTACAATGTACAAAAGCTTTATCCCACAGCAAGCGTGAGTTACATAATGAGACTGTCTTAGAATATCAATGCTCATTGGGTGTGGTGCTTTGTACGTCTAATCCCAGTGCTCAGGTGGATGTATAATTGTGAGACCATCCTGGTTTGCATAGATTAAGGTTAGTTAGGGCTATGTAGTGAGATCCAGGAGAGCTAGGACTACGTAGAACAACCTGTTTGAAAACAAAAATAAAACAAGATAAGAATTTAAATATATATATGTTTATATATCTTGATATATGAATAAAGTTGGAGATGTAACTTAATGGTAGAGCATTTGCATGGCGTGCAGAAGGCTCCCCATCTTCAGCACCACAAAAATCCAAAATCATAACACAAACCAGAACTCGGCATTACTGGTCTTGAGTTTGCAAAAGGGTGCTGAGCAATGGTTTGCTGTTTTTCTTTTAACAGTCTCTAGTTTTAGTAACAAAGATTAAACAAACAAACAAAAAACAAGAAAGCATTTATTAAACAACCCAGAGTGTGATTAGAGGTTGTGCTCTCATGGGAATTTCCTGGTGACATTTTTCCTCCAGGTCTTGAGGCAGGCTTTTGCTGTGTATCCCATGCTGGTCTTGAATTTGCATCAGTCTTACTGTTTGAGCTTCTGGAGTTCCAGGCGTGTTTCACCATGCCCCCAGATTCCTGACTGGGCTTGAGCATGGGGTAGATACCCTTGTAGTCTGAGGACTGAGAAGTGGAGCTCAGCACCTAAGTAACATGTCTGCTCATTCTAGCTACTTAGGTTTAAGCTCAGAGTTAAATGTTGCAGACACCTAGAAAAACTAAGAGTCACTGCATTAATATGACCTCTCGAGTCTTAAATGTAACTCTTCAGTTTCCTGGCTCTCCCTCCCTCCCTCCCTCCCTCCCTCCCTCCCTCCCTCCCTCCCTCTCCTCTCTTTCTGTTTCTTTATTTTTTCTCTCTTTTTTCTTTTCTTTTTTTCTCTTTTCTTTTCTTTAAGATAGGGTCTTTGTGTGTGACCATGGCTGGCCTGGAATGCTCTGTGAAGACCAGGCTAGCCTGGAATTTGTAGGAGATGTACCTGCCTCTGCTTCCCTGGTACTGGAATTAAAGGCATGAGTCACCATGCCTGGCTGTAGATTCGTTTTAGTTATGAGTCTGGGTGTATGGATGTGGATGTCGGTGCCCGCAGAGGCTGCAGGATCTCTGGAGTTGGAGTCACGAGTAGGGTGAGCTACCTGAGAAGGGCCCTGAGAAATGAACTCTGGACTTGTTCTCTGCTCTGGAAGAGCAGTATGTGCTTCTAACCACGGAGTCATCTTGCCAGCCCATCTTCCTTCCTACAGTTAGTGCCTTACATGTTTTAGTTAGGTGGCACAATTGATAGAGGGTTTTACTTTCTACTCCAGTCTTAGGTCAACCCAGCAAATCCTGGGCCCCTTGGGCCTGCATCCTGTTCTGAGGAATGTCCTCTCCAACTCCTTCCTGCTAGGCTTTTCTCCAGCTCTACCTTGGCCCTGACTTGAAAATGAAGGCTAAACATTTTTATTTCTTTTCCCTTCAGTGGAGAGAAGCAGGCTCCAGGAAATGCTGTCCCTGTTGGGCCTGGAGACATACCAGGCCCAGAAGCTCACCCTCCAGGACTCCCTGCAGATCAGTTCTGACAGCATGAAGAACTGGGCTCCTCAGGTCCCCAAGGACCTTCCCTGGCATTTCCTCAGGAAGCTGCAGGCCCTTAATTCTGACGCCAGGAACACCACCATGGTGCTGGATATGCCTCCAGATGCCTGGCCTGCCGAGAAGGAGAGCCAGATGGAGGAGGAGATGATCTACTGGGACCCGGCTGAGGACATGGCTGCTGATGACATCTACTCCTTCTCTGAGCTGCCCATGCCCGACACACCTGTGAACCCCCTGGACCTTCTCTGTGCTCTCCTGCTGTCTTCAGACACCTTTCTGCAGCAGGAGGTCCTACTCAAGATGTCCCTCTGCCAGTTTGCACTCCCGCTTGTATTGCCTGATTCAGAAAACCACTACCACACTTTTCTCCTCTGGGCCCTGCGGGGCGTTGTGCGGACGTGCTGTTTCCAGTCCCCACGGGGCCTTGGGAGTTTTCGAGAAGACAGCGTGGTTCTGTCCAGGGTGCCCACCTTTGCCTTCGTGCGCATGGATGTCAGCAGCAACTCTAAGTCCCAGCTGCTCAATGCCATCCTCAGCCCGGCTCGCCGGCAGTGGGACCGCTTCTGGCATCGGGACCTCAATTTAGGCACCAATTCTCGAGAGATTGCAGATGGGTTGGTAGAAATCTCCTGGTTTTTCCCCAGTGGTAAGGAGGACCTGGATATTTTCCCAGAGCCTATGGCCTTTCTGAACTTGAGAGGTGACATTGGGTCTCACTGGCTGCAGTTCAAGCTCTTGACAGAAGTCTCCTCTGCTGTGTTTATTTTGACTGACAACATCAGTAAGAAGGAATACAAACTGCTGTACTCCATGAAGGAGTCAACCACAAAGTACTACTTCATTCTGAGTCCCTACCGAGGGAAACGGAACACAAACCTGCGCTTCCTCAACAGGCTGATTCCCGTGTTGAAGATAGACCACTCTCATGTCCTCGTGAAGGTCAGCAGCACCGACAACGAGAGCTTTGTGAGGCGGATCCGAGCGATTATATGCAGTGTGGCGCGCTCTCCCTGCAGGAGGCTGTCTGTGGAGGACATGGCACACGCGGCACGGAAGTTAGGCCTCAGAATTGATGAGGACTTTGAGGAGTGTCAGAAGGCGAAGGAGCGGATGGAGAAGATTATCAGGAAGATCAAGGATGTGGATGCCTACAAGAGAGACGAGCTGAGGCTGCAGGGAGACCCTGCAAGGAAGGCAGCCCAAGTCGAAAGAGAGTTCTGCCAGCTCCCGTGGGTCTCGGAACCCCCAGAGAAGCACCGGGCTGAGCTGAGACGGCGGGTCCTGGAGCTCCGCGTGCAGCAGAATGGCCAGGAGCCCACTTCAGGGGTACAGGAGTTCATTCTGGGGATAAGCAGCCCCTCCCTGCGTGAGAGGCAGTACTTCCTGAGGTGGATGGAGTGGGGGTTAGCTCGACTAGGCTCGCCACGGCCAAGACAGCCTCCAGAGACGCTTCTCACCCTGAGACCAAAACTTGGTGGGGCCTCAGACTTGAATGAGCCCTTCTGGCCTGAGCCCTTGGGAGTGGAGCATTTCCTGCGGGAGATGGGGCAGTTCTATGAGGCCGAGAGCTGCCTGGTGGAGGCAGGGAGGCTGCCTGCTGGCCAGAGGCGCTTTGCCCACTTCCCAGGCCTGGCTGTGGAACTGCTGCTGGGTGGGCTGCCGCTGGAGCTGGTCGATGGGGCCACCCTGAGCATCCCTGTTCGCTGGGTCACTGGGCTTCTCAAGGAGCTGCATGTCCGCCTAGACAGGAGATCTCGACTAGTGGTTCTCTCTGCGCTGGGGGTGCCAGGCACAGGGAAATCTACACTCCTTAACACCATGTTTGGCCTGCGGTTTGCCACGGGGAGGAGTTGCAGTCCCCGGGGATCCTTCATGCAGCTCCTCCCTGTAGCTGAGGGCTTCAGCCAGGACTTGGGCTGTGATCAGATCCTGGTCATAGACTCTGGGGGTTTGATCAGTGGGGCCTTGCCCTCTGCTGGAGACAGGTTCGAACTGGAGGCTTCCTTGGCCACACTGCTAATGGGGCTAAGCAATGTCACTGTGGTCAGTTTAGCTGAAATGAAGGACATTCCACCAGCTATTCTTCATGCTTTTCTAAGGCTAGAAAAAACAGGGCACATGCCCAACTATCAGTTTGTCTACCAGAACCTTCATGACCTCTCTGTCCCCAGCCCCAAGCCAAGAGACAGGAGGCAGCTCCTGGATCCGCCCAGCGACCTGGGCAGGGCTGCTACCCACGTGGAGAAGCAGGGTAGCAGCTTCCGGACACTGGCAGGCCTGGCAGAGAGGCAGCATGTCTGGCACATCCCAGCCCTGTGGCATGGAGCACCCCCCATGGCCGCTGTGAGCCTGGGCTACAGTGAGGCCATTTTTGAATTGAAGAGATGCCTGCTAGAAAACATCAGGAATGGCTTGTCCAGCCAAAACCAAAACATTCAGCAGCTCATCGAGCTGGTGCGGAGGCTGTGAATGTCGTGAGGGTAGGGCCTCCTGCTGTGGCCTGTTGGGCCAGCAGCCAGCAAGGCTGTGTTTGGCACCTGAGGGTTGGCTGGTGCTTGCTGCACCTGAGAAGGAAGACAGGAGTTAAGGGCCTTTTCACAGTGTTAAGAAGCAGTCTCAGACTGACTCAGAAATATTGAGAATAGAGGCCCAGGGCGGGGTGATCCAAGCAGTGGCGTTCTCTGTCCCTAACCCATGTCGAGGCTCCTGGGAGTTGGCCCTTTGGGTAGCTGCTCCTTCACTGGTCCCTGGAATTAGGGAACAGCTCCCTTAGTCACAGCAGGTGCTGGCAGACAGGGATGTTGCGGGTTGTTCTGAAGAAGCAAAAGAGGCTTTGCTTCCATTCAGTCCACCGGTCCTTTGTGGACCAGCCTTTGTGGCACCGAAGTGCAAGGCACTGCCATGGCACTGAGCTTACGTACTGGTGTGTGAAGCGCTCCCTGACCCTTGCCCAGGAAGTGTTCGTCAGTCACCCTTTTGTGCTCCAGCACTTTGTCACACTTTCTCCTCAACACTTCATGGCACATTGTCACTTGTGTGTTTACTGTCTGCCCCTCGACTGTGAGCTGCTTGAGGGCAGGACCTAAGCACCATACAGCTCTGGGTCCCTAGGACCTGGCACACATAGGCGCTTAATAAATGTTTGTTGAACTAATGAATTGAATGAATGCTCCAATGATAGTAGCGTGTAGGTTTTGCCTCTCCGTGCCTTCCTTGTCCTTGTGCTCAGGACAACCTTTCCCTGAGGAGGGGTCTGGGAGCAGGCTGTTGCCTGGGGATAATGCCATCATAGTAACTTTTCAGCACTTTAGTCCCTGCCCCATGTGCGGTTGACAGTAGGAAGTCGCAGACTGCCGTCCCTGCATGGCAGACATGAGTAGAGAGGACCTGCTTGCTGTGCATTTAAACCTTCCCCAGCATTCTGACCTCTCTCCTCAGCAAAGTAGCCACCCTGTGAGGGACGGCCTGGAGCTCGTCCTCTCTGATTCTTCAGCTGGAATCAGCCGTTACCCCACTGAGTTTCAGAGCCCCACTCCCCTACAACTCAGGCCTAAGAGCTTCTGCTTAACTGTGCCTTGCTGCGGAGGCTTTGGGATTTCTTTTGCTTGTTTCTTGTCAGAAGTCAGGCAGTGGCCTGAGAGCCTCCCCTGTGTCTTGTCCCTTGATCCAGTGGTGGGTCTGGACATGTGGGCAGAGGGAAGCGGTCCTGAACCGTGGCAAACTGCTATCAGACCCGGTTAAGAAAAGGGGACTCTGGCTCTCAGACCTTGAAACTTTGACCTGCTCAGAGCGTTAAGATGACCATACTGTGCTGATTCAGTTGGAAGTAACAAACCTTTCTTTACCTTAAGATTCACGTCTGCCAGCTGGGCGTGGTGGTGCACACTTTTAATCCCAGTACTTAGGAGGCAGAAGCAGGTGGATCTCTGTGAGTTTGAGGCTAGCCTGGTCTACAGAGCTAGTTCTAGGACAGCCAGGGCTACAAAAAACAAACAAAATCCAACCAGTAAGTAACAATAAAAACAACAAAAACACCCTTCCCCTTTTCCTGCCAGATCTACAGAAACTTCCCTGGCACCTTCCCACACTGCAGAAATTTCACCCAGCATTCCTAGCACCAAATTTACACTGAAGCACAAGAAATAGCTCTCAGAATTGTTGCTGGCAGAGGGCCTGTGCGGTAGCTCACAGGGCACAGGCACTTGCGGCAAAGCATGGCAACTTGGATTCATTCCCCGGAACACATGTAAAACTGGAGGAGAGAACCCTCCATAAAGGAGTCCCCTGACCTCCACACATGTCATGCCATGCCACCTTCCCCGGTATGCACATCACACATGCTAATAATAAAGCTAGGGCATCCACCTTCAGAGTCCCACTCTTTCTTTTCTTTCTTTTTTCAAGACATGGTTTCTCTGTGGCTTTGGAACCTGTCCTGGAACTAGCTCTGTAGACCAGGCTGGCCACAAACTCACAGAGATCCGCCTGCCTCTGCCTCTCGAGTGCTGGGATTAAAGGTGTGCGCCACCACTGCCAAGTCAAGAGTTCCACACTTAGAAGTTCAAAATTGTTGAATTTCAACCAGTATCCTTAAATTGTTCCTAAAATCTGAGACAAGGAAGTCAGGATTGATGACAGCTGAGAAAGAGTCTTTAGCTGGGGTTATTGGTGCATAGCTGTGATGCCAGTGTTTGAGAGACAAGGATTTTCAAAGCCCAGGGTCAGTCTGGGTTATACAGCAAGACCCCCATCTCCAAGAATATAAAGGTGTATACAGCAAGACCCCCTATCTTCAGGAACATAAAAGGTGTGTTTTACATGAAGTCTGTCCATAACCTAGAAATAAAATTCAATCTGGATTCCTAAGATTTATATATATGCAGAGAGTTTTTAGTTTTATAACTTTTATTAGAGTTTCAAAGGGACAGGGTATGGGGTTACATATCTGTATTCTGAGCATTTGGGAAACTGAGGAAAGAGAATAGCTCAAGACCAGCTTGTGTACATGGTGAGATCCTATCTAAAAATACCTCGACCACTCAAGAGGCAGAGGCCGGTAGATCCCTGTAAGTTCAAGGTCAGTCTGGTCTACATAGTGAGCTCTGGACCCTGTCTCAAACCAAAATGCTAAATAACATTAAACGTCTTAATAAAGTTACTCCATCTATCATCAGGACCCAGCTGCTTTATGTTTCAAACCTGGACAACAAACTAGTCTCGGTGAGGCATTCAGGGGGCTCCCCTGCAAACAGGACATGTTAGAAGAATTCTGTGACTGTTAGCTAAGCCAAGAGAGACCATCGGAACAGAAGAGGTCTGCCTGAGCTGGCTGACTTCAGGAAGTCACTTGCCCGCTCTCCATGCCTATTTGAAGGGCTAACGTTTCTAGCCCAAGACCTAGGAGAGGTTTTCAGGACTGCTCTTGACAGTCAAACTTCAGCTGGACCCCGAGTAATTTCCCGGACTTGAGCAGCGGGCTGTTCGGCCTTCCTAAGTGCCCTTGGCTCCGATGTCAGGGGAGAGCATTCTCGGGGCCCTGGGGCTGAAGTTAGGTGTGGTGTGTGCTAAACCATGACTCCACAGGAAGAATGAGGTAGGAGGCTGCACAGGCTTCCTGTGCTGCTGCTTTCTGCTTTAGCTTGTGGGCTTCAGTGGTTGACTTCTCAGGAAAAGTGCTGGGTTCTTGTTTACTGACTGGGTAAGAGGAGTTACCAGGAAGCAGGTTTACAAAGTGAGTGTCAGACCCTCTGAATTGATTTCACTAAGTGGTAAAGAACACCCACGGTTGGATTGCATGGTTTGGGAGGCCAAGGTGAAATGACCATGAACTAGAGACCAGATTGGGCTCCACGGGAAAGTGAGAAAGACACCTTTCTAAACTCTCGTGATGCCTTGTGTTCTTGGCTGGACTGTTGCTCTTGCACAAAGTCACCCCACAGCTCAGCCTTTGAACACTGTTGCTTATGCAGGGACAGACAGATCATTTTTAAGACATCTGGACTGCAGCTAGGGTCTTCCTCCACCCGGTGGACCGGGCAGAAAAGTGCCATGGTCTTTCCCTCAGAAAGGTCTGCAGATAGCGGTTTGGGGCATCCTCCCCAAAAGATGAGTTAAGACACTAGTTCATGGGCTGGAGAGATGGCTCTGTGGTTGGAGTGCTTGCTGCTGCAGAGAATTTGGGTTCTGTTCCAGCACTTACATGGTGGCTCATAACTGATGCCCTTTTCTGGCCTCCCACGCAGCACCAGGCACAAATACATGCATGCAGGCAATAATCACACACATAATCATCATCATCATCCCAAACTAGTTCACAATTCCACTGCAAACTGTAATCTCTGAGGGGATTTCAAAAGGAACATGCACCTGCTTTCTCACGGAGATGAGGCTGGTTGGGCTCTGTCTTCTGAGCGCGCAGGCTACTGGTTGTCATGCGAAGAACAAGAACTCATATCAGAAAGCAATGCACCCTTCCAGCGTGGCCTTGAGCCTGGAGGGGTATTGTGGCCATTCATGTGGAGATTGCTCCTAACTGAGGCTGCTCCATACCCAGCAGCCACTCACCTAGCCCCAAAGGCTGGGGTCACCCCCTCATACTAGCATGGTTCTGAATTTTCACCGTACCAAAAGTGAACTCCAGATACGTCAAGAGTGCAGGTTCTGAACAAGGCCTGCACCTGGCTACTATGTGAATCTGGAGCCTCCACCATCTCATCTGTAAAGCCTGCAGATACTTCAGCATGATGTCTGGGAAGACAGAGTGCATTAACACAAGTGTATGCTGTAGAAGAAATATCTCCCTTAGAAAGTCCCCACCTGGAGCTGGGGAGATGGCTCAGTGGTTAAGTGCACTTTCTTCTCTCCCAGAGGCCCTGCACTCTTAGCATCCATACCAGGCAGCTCACAAGTCCCTAGCTCCAGGGGACCCTACGCGCTCTTCTGGCTTCCACAGCACCTGCACACACCGGACATACACTCACAGACAGCACACACAAATGTTAAAAATGAAATTTGCACTGGTTGGGCTGGGGAAATGGCCCAGGAGGTAAAGTGTTGGCTGTGCATGAGGATCAGAACTGGGAGACCTAAAATCCTCAGAAAAGCTTGTCATCCCATTGCTTAAGGGAGGGAGGCGGGCCTGGCTTGGTGATGCATGATGCAGAGGCAGATTGCTTCTGTAGGCCAGTTAGAGCTTCACGTCTCATACAACAAGACAAAAGGAAAAGACAGGAGCCCTGGAGCAAGCCGCCAGGCTAGACTAGCTGAATTGGTGAGGGCTGCAGAGGCTCTGTGAGAGCCCGTGCTTCAGTTAAGACAGTGAGGGGTGATGGAGGAAGCCCCCCCGCATGCTGCTGTCTCTAATAGAACACACTTAACTGCTCGAGGGGACACAGAAGCCAAGCAGTCTCCATGTCCTGCAGCCACCCGAGTCGAGTTTATGACTTCACTTTTATGAGACTCAAGGCTCTGTTCTTTCTCTTCTTCAAAGGCCAAAGAGAACAAAAACAAACCAAAGGCTCAAACAGTCAGCTAGACTCAGGACACTAACGTCTCTGTGGGAATATGGTATTAGTTTTCACGTTTTTATTTTTTCCCTTATTATGTTTATCGAGGTCTTGCCTGCATGTATGTCTGTGTGAAGGTGTCAGATCCTCTGAAGGTGGAGTTATACAGTTGTGAGCTGCCATGTGGGTGCTGGGAATTGAGCCCAGGTCCTCCGAAGAGCAGCCAGTGCTCTTAACTGCTGCGCCATTTCTCCAACCCCCCATTTTGTTTCAAGTGCTGGGGAGGGAGCCCAAAGCCTTGCACATGTGCGGTAGCACTGAGCTCCACCCCCAGCCCACAGTAACCATTACTGACCCCATTTTACAAGTGAGGAAGCTTGGACAGAGGGAGGTTGTCCTTGCTCACGTTATACAGCGAGGAAGTGAGTTCAAGTTTGGATCTGGGCAGTTCAGATGCTGGATACCATCTCTTACTCCATGCTGGAGCAAATTTGTATAATTTGTCAAACTATAAAACCATCACACTTTATGCAAACTTTAAAAAGGAAAACATCTTAGAATTATTTAGAAAAAAGTACAAGATTTTACATTTGCAAGTGACTGGATCTGGAAAAGGCCACGCCCCTGTAAGTCCATTATCCAGTATCTGAGACAACAGGAGGCTGCAGGCTAAAAAACATCGAGAATAAAATACTCCCAGTGAGGTTCAGATGAAGGACCCAGATTCAGTGGTCAAAGAAATTTTAACCAGACGGGAGTCGACAGACTGGTCACTCTGCCTCTGCCTCGCGGTCATGGAGGGCACTAACCATCTATTTCCCACCCTGGAGGGCCAATCCTTTTCCCTCAGGAAACACCGGTGTGCGAACCCCACCAGTTGACCCAGGCATATCCCAAACAGCCAAATGTGGTTAGTTTCACACAGTTGAGGCAGACAGAACCAATTCCAGCCGCCAGTCATTAAATGCTCTCTTCTGTGTATACATGACAATAGCCTTGAACTCAAAGCAGTCCTGCTTCAGCCTCCCAAGTGCTGGGATTATAGGAGTAAGCCATCATGCCTGACTATTAAAAACCTTCCTCATCCTAACAGCTCAAAGAAGTGGTTATTTTTTAAATTTTTATATATGTGTGCATGTATGTGCATGTGTGTGCATGCTAACTCAAGGGGCATGTGGAGCTTTGTGGGGCAGTGTCTTAGTTTCTGTTCTATTACTGTGAAGAGACACCATGACCAAGGCAACTCTTACAAAAGAAAGCACTTAATTGGGGGCTGGCTTACAGTTTCAGAGGCATTTATCGTCATGGTGATGGCAACACACAGGCAGACAGGTACAGACACTGTGCTGGAGAAGTAGCTAAGAACTTGCATCTGATCCCCAAGTTGCAGGCTGGGGTGGGAGCTAGTTGTGCTTTTGAAACCTCTAAGCCCACTCCTAAGTGACACAATGAGGCCACACCTTTTAATCCTTCCCCAACAATTCCACTCCCTGGTGATTGGAGCCTAATGGGGCCATTCTCATTCATACCACCACAGGGAGGTCCTCTGGTCCTTCTACCTTTACAAGGGCTCTGGGGATAGAACTCAGGGCAGCAGGCTTGGGCAGCAAGTGCCTTATCAGCTGAGCCATGTCACTAACCCTTATGGATGAGATGTTCCATTTCTACATAATGGAACCCAGGGTGAACTGTACAAATGTAACATGTTTGCCTCTTGGCGAGCGTGAAGTCAAAATAAATATAGCCAAGATATAAGAGTAGAGAAAGATTTATTATTACCTGTGACCAGACAAGGTGGTACACACCTCAGGAGTTGGAAGGCAGAGGCAAGAGGATCAGGAGCTCAAGGTTAGCTTCTGGTACACATTGAGTTCCAGACAAGTATGGGCTATAGGAGACCATGTCTTGAAAAACATTGCCTACCTGCAAGAGGCAAGGTAGCAACAGAGTTATTCCCAAAGCAGTGCCCTTCCTGAACAGGGAAGGAGTGAGGATTTTACCCAGAGAACCTGTACATGTTGTTATAGGAGTTGGCTTAATCGTAAGTACTATCAGGGGAGTGCATTCCCGATCATGCTCTTTTAGTTTAGTTTTGAGACAGGGTCTTCTATGTAGCTCTGGTGGCCTGGAACTCCATATGTAGACCTACCTTGAACTCGTTATGAATCCATCCGCTTCTGCCTTGCAAGTCGTAAGATTAAAAGTGCTCATGACCACTCCCATTTTAAAGTCCTGGTTTAAGAAGAAAAAACAGTAGACATGTATTTGGGTATGGTTAGCCAAAAGTCATGGCGCATAAGCTTAAAAATGTAAAGTTTTGGATAAGAGAGATTCATGCACGCTCGGTCCGTTTCCTGAGCATTTATCTGAAATAAAGGAAAGGGTGCCTTTTTTTTTTCTTTCTTATTTTAGACAGGATTTCTCTCTGTAGATCAGACTGACCTCCAGCTCAGAGATTTGCTGGCTTCTGCCTCTTGAGTGCTGGGATTAAAGGCATATACCACTAAGCCCTGCCGGAAGGATGCCTTCAAGGTGCTGTTTAAAAGGAGTTCGCTTCTGAAGGCGCCTGCCATTCTTAGTAGATTTTGTTACATGAGAGCGAGACAGCAGAGTCCGTCCATGTACTTTAGAACAGTGAGTTCTAAAGTAAAATATCCACTGTGCT